CTTCATTTGGCATACATCAATTAATTCATATGATAAATTATTCAAATACATAAACAATTTAGTCAGCAAACTGCTCTAAGGGCTGATGTAAGGCCTGGATTTTTCAAGGGAAATACTAATGCCTTCTGCTTTCACTGTTTTGGCACCCTTAAGAGGAGGTCTTTTAGAGGACCATTTCTGGGGGATTTGATGATGAGAGGGAGCCCAGGGTACAGCTTTGTAATATGAGTCATCTCATGGAGCAATGGTTTCATCTCATGCTGATCCAACCCACTGCATGGAAGAGGCACAAAAGGGGAAGTGGGACCCCATGGACAGGCATGGAGAAAGTAGAACAATCCCTTTCAGTGTTAACCTGCCCTTGGGCTAGATTAAGAGTATGTCTACACTTCTGTTTTAACTAAGCATACTTCCAAACCCCTGCAAATCTTCAATGGCAGGATGCTGTGGCTTTTTCCTTGCATGGAGGGCTCTCTTTGTTCCTTCTTATTTTATTGGTAACTTCAAAAGAGAATAAAACATTTCTGAATTAAATGAAGATTTTCTCTTTGTGTAAGAGGTTAAAGAAAAAACATCCCCCAATAAAGATTTACTGCTAGGCAACATTTGAAGAGCACATTCCAGTTGTCTCTCCCCCCCATACTCCTTGATATAACTCAGTAAAGACTGTATTTCTGTATCATATAGCATTAAGATGAAGTGATTTATCATAAGAATGGGGTTCTATAGGGTCTAATAAATATAACAAGGACACACATCATCCCAGGAAAGCAGACACACCAGATGATGTTATTCCAGAAAAAAAAGGAGACTTTGGTGCTGGCAGAAGCAGAACACGTTGCCTGTCTAACTATTCAGTGACAGGAGTTGTACAGGATTCACAGAAAAAACACTGTACAAAAGCATTAAAGTAAAGCTGACAACTGCACAACTTTTTGTTTCCTATGATGTCATGCACCTTAATATCATTGCAGTTGTCAGACCAGGGCAGCAGCAGTAAAAGCCAGAAAACGTCAAACTGCTTTTATGGTTCCCCACAGGACCTGCAGACTCTTGCTGGTCTCAAAGCCTTTTTCCACTTCCTGCAGGGCTGAGGAGATCAGCTTAAAACTTCAACCCAAGCTGAAAGGAACAAGATTGTTCCAGTAGGGACCTTTTGTCCATTATGACTTTTGAGCAAGAGGCTTTTAGGAAACAAGCTCCAGAAAGTTCATAAACCCTTGGCTAATCCTTGATGAACCCATGGAGATGTGGCAGACTGTGTGCCAGGAAGATTTATGCTAAGTCACACACTGCAGCAACCTACTCCAGGATAAGCCTGGGAGAGTGGTTGTCATAATGGAGAGGGGAGTCTCCATTATATGTCTACTGGAGCTATCTCATCAGCTGAGCTAGGGATTGGGTATAGCCCCTGACACAGGAGCCCTGGGCGAATCAGAGGAGAATGACTCAAATGATCCTTATCCCAACAAAAGTTTTATTAAACCTCCTAAGTCACTTCTTTTTGTTTGGCTAGTTAGGTTTTTCTTGTTATTGTCTTAACTGCAAGGACAACTGTTAAACTATCAGCTTTGGAGAAACATTTTTACACAAAGACTGGAGACCAAGCAGAAAGGAGGAAAGTGGAACAAAGCATGTCCAAATGTTAGAAAAAACCCCCAAAAGACAACTTTGGTTCTGAGGTCCTGGTGTACTGGGCTTGCCACTTGCATGAGTGGGTCAGTCTGCCATTCCTCTCCCACAGGAGATAACTAGTGCTGCATTGGTAGAAAACACTTTCAGGGAAGATACCGGAAGATCATCTGGAAGTTTTGAATTGCCTCTGAACCAGAAAAAGCTGTGAGCAATCCTCTTTTCTGTAAGGAAACCTCAGTTGCATTGAAGCCACTCACACTGGCATTACAAGGCAGTGCTTGCATGGCCAGCCTTTCTATGGCCACTTTGTCCTGCAAATGTAACCATATTGCTTTTAGGTTCTCTCAAAGGGCAAAAATGTCTCCTTCAAAGATGAAAGCAGTATTCTTTTCTCATTGCTAAATGACATTTTCCTGCTGGTTTTGAGTTTGCCTGTAGTTCATGAATCTAGGAACCACTTTGAAGTTTTACATACAGAGGAAGCTTGCTGTGAGGCTTTTTCCAAACTCGCTCAGCTTTAGTAAAGCTGTCTAATTACAGATATTTTTTCATTTGTATTATCAGACTGTCTGAAAAATCGATAGAAAAGTGAACACCACAATATGGCCTAATATTTTAAAGTCACTTTTAAGACCAATAAAAGTACAGCGATGCTAGGCAAGATCTTTTCTAGCTATTGTGAATAATTTTGCCTGACATCTAAAAAGCAGATCTTGAGAAGATAAATTCTATTATCTTGAAAGCCTCAGTCTTTTCCATTTGCTTTTATTTCAGTTCAAAAGAGACTCAAAGTGTCAGTGTAATTGGGTACATGAAGTTTAATGCACTATTGGTAAATAAATATATACCTTCTTCAGATTCAGTATCCAACTGTAGATCTCAAGGAGCTGCATATGACACCATTGTGGTGAAAAGCGCATTGAAGTGGAGTGGTCCTTCGAAGTTCTGACCTACCAGCTAGAACTACTCAGAAGGCAACACTTTTTTTGCTCTACAGCAGTGTGGGGCATATCAAGCTCAACGGGATAGTTTTCATCATCCAACATCAGTTTCTTAACATAAAGGTATGAAACAAAGTTGCTTTTGGTTGTGGGAAAGGAGAAATACATGACAGTAGGAGAACCCCAGCAGAACTGGTGATAAGGGTTATTTCCAGTGATTATTTTATATTTATGGATATGAATCTAGTGCTGCACTTGCAGGAGAACTTTGATACATGGAGCTTTGGCGTTAACCTGCACTTGCTAGAAAAGGAAATCCAACGTGTCCAAAGCCTGTCACAACTGCTGGGCATGAGCAGAGCAGCTCACAGAGTCAGTGTGATATCTCAGAGCTTCTCAGTGTGGCACAACAGTAGGGCAGTTTAACATGTCTGCCTGTTTGATGTGGGAAATCTGTACAGGGCTACCCTTCAAATTCTGGTAGTTATTAGTGCATTTAGTTCTTACCCTTGGCATCCAAACACACAGGCCGTCAAACTCTGTGAGCTGTCAGTTCAGTGCCTGCTCTTCCAAGGCTTTCACACTTTTTCCTTTGCAAAGACTGCATTTCCTTCTTGGGCAAAGCCTCCAGGGTCTGCCCCAGCACAGCAAACACTGACACAGGTGTATGGCAACATCAATGCAGTGGGTGTATGCACTGTGCATGGTATGGACTGTACAATCTCAAAACCCAGAGCAGGCATCTCTGTAAAGTGTATCAGGGCTTCATGATATCCCAAGCAGCCAGGAAATTCATGCTGCTGTACAGACAGGCCAGAAGAAGGAGGAGAAAAGCTCTCCTGTGGCAGTGTAGATCCTTTCCAGATCACTCAGCAATCCAAGACAGAGCCCTTTCCAGTACAAGACTTGCAGGCTGCATGCATGCAGCGGACAGGAGAGTATGACCAAGAGGAAGACTCTTAGAGATAGGCCAGGGCCCATAGTTCCAGCTCAGCACCATTCAGAAAACATTCAATTCCTCTCCAATTTCAGCCCCAAAGAAGATGGGTAAAAGGTCAAACACAAAACTTGATTCTGAAATCAGATTAATCTATTTAAAGGTTTTTGACTGGCAGGAGGATTTGTTAGACTGCGATATGATGTCATGCGCATGTCTAATAAGGGTTTTGATAGACAGGCCGACAATTAATAGGTGTGCCTTTAGAGATAATTAAGTCTGTTAAATGGCATGGTATTATGTGAAGAAAAAAAAAAAAAGGTCACATTTTCAATTTTATCCTTCTTCTGTTACTTGATATTGCATGAGAGATAACGTTTCATTTATGATTTGGCAATCTGTTTTCTAAGCTACCCCCATCCACATTGTTTCCTCTGAGTACGGTGGGC